GTAGTCACGTCTACATGTCTGCTGTACCCAGCTGTAGGCACGTCTACATGTCTGCTGTACCCAGCTGTAGTCACGTCTACATGTCTGCTGTACCCAGCTGTGGTCACGTCTACATGTCTGCTGTACCCAGCTATAGTCACGTCTACATGTCTGCTGTACCCAGCTGTAGTCACGTCTACATGTCTGCTGTACCCAGCTGTTCTGTACCCAGCTATAGTCACGTCTACATGTCTGCTGTACCCAGCTGTAGGCACGTCTACATGTCTGCTGTACCCAGCTATAGTCACGTCTACATGTCTGCTGTACCCAGCTGTAGTCACGTCTACATGTCTGCTGTACCCAGCTGTAGTCACGTCTACATGTCTACTGTACCCAGCTATAGTCACGTCTACATGTCTGCTGTACCCAGCTGTTCTGTACCCAGAGTCACGTCTACATGTCTGCTGTACCCAGCTGTATTACATAAATATGTGTCAAATGTGTATGTGCCAGGCAGCCTGGGTTAGCCTATGGAGTTCTACACCCAGGCTTTCTGGCACATAATCATTGGAAATGAATGTTTCTCCTGATATAAAAAGACCTAAGCTTGTCATTAATTAACATAGATGCAAAGTGTTTTTCTGTTGAACCATACTTTCATGTATATATAGAAAATCTTCTCGTATCGATCAATGACAATCTATCAGAAAAGCTAAGCCCACACTTCAAGTTTCTCTGCCAACATTTTGGGAGCTGTTCTTCAGGGCAATGAAAGTCAGTAGGGCTTGCAGACAAAACTGCAGCGTTGTGTACAAAAGAAACTAGACTATTGTGGTGTTTTAGGTGTAGGTTCAAGAAAGCTATTACGTACTCTGAGGACATCCTTATCATCAGTTGCCCCCCCCCCCCACACAGGTCCGGTGGATGATGCGCATTCCGGGGCCGCTCAGTCTGGAGAAGGTCCTGCTGAGGCTTCCCGTCGTGCAACACTTCAAGAATGACGTGGAGGTCAAGGTCAGCAGCTACCTGCCGCTGCAGGACTACAAGAGCGCGCTGCAGGCGGCGCGAAGGCCGGAAACACCCGAGTAACAGCCGGAAACACCCGAGGAACGGCCGGAGACTGCCGAGATACGGCCGGAAACTGTCGAATAACCTGTCAGTTCATAAGCCGGTGCATACGGACTGAAATTAGCCTCTAACGGGCTTCGGAAGCGGCTGGAAAAAGTAGAAAGAGGCCAAATGGGCAGATAACATGCAGGGAGAGTTGGTTCGCCAAGGGAGTACAGTTTTCCTATCCAACTCCTCTGGCATGTTATTTGTCTATTTGGGCAATTTCTACTCTTTCCAGCCGCTTCTGAAGCCTGTTAGAGGCTACATAGAACCAATTCAAATTGTCATGTTCTTCATATTAGGTTTATTTTGTTAAATGTGATTTTTACGTTTTTAACAGTCATATTGTATGTGAACGTCACAAATCAGATTTCAGACAGCCTTGACAGGTGATTTGATATCCGAGTTGTAAGTTAAAATGTCGTAATGTAAGTTTGATATCTGAGGAAAGTTGTAATGTAAGTTAAATTGGACTTACGTAGGCATTTTGTACAATATTAATTTTGATTTTGATTAACTTAATTTGATTACCCTTTTCGGGTAAAGTTGCCATACAATGTTATTTATTATTATTACTATTATTTTTTTACCGGTTAAGATTTTATTTAAAGTTGAAGAAACGATATTTTCCCGAAATATTAGTCGTAACTGTTCTTCATAATACTATGTAAGCAGCCATGTCCAAGCCCTGTTTGTTTGGCCGAATAAGGGTGGGGGTTGTTGCGCAGTGAGGCTGGTTTGCATCTTTCTGTTATCATGTTATAGACATTTTTCCTGGGCCAATTTTAGAAGTGTGTTTACGTTTTAACTATAGACAGAACGTGTGATCTCAGTGTTGAATAGCGGTGTTATGTTACATCTAGTGGGGATGATGTCACACCCCTTCAGCCAGGCGATTCCAAGCTGCAGGTTCAAAGGTCATCAGTGTTTTCTTACTTCTGATCAGTTGTAATAAAACGCACTAAGTCACTAAGTGTTAGATAAATACATTGAGAGACAAGTTGGCTCTGAACCGAACCAAGCGTAAACCAGCAACGAGAGACAGAGAGACATTAAACGTTAGACAAGGACAACAGCAACAACGACTGGAGTCGAACCGTGGCCTTTTCCACAAACTGAAAGTAGACATGTTTAGCTACTCATGAAGAGGAGCGTTTGGAGGTTGACATTCATAGTAAGTGTATTTTGAAGACAGAAACCTGTAAAGGTGGTGCCTTACCTGAAAGGTTGCGTCTTGTGTTTTTAGATGTGAACTTAAAACGAATGAAGGAACTGGTGCTTTGACGATTTTATTGATTTTATTTTATTAACTTTATTTTTACTTCAGTTCCAGGCATCAAATATTTACAGTTGATAAGTGGCTCGTACGTATATGCTCGCTCATGAACGATAAAATATATTATGTCCTACCTGGGCCGCGATTACGTTCTATACGGGTGTTCCGGCCCGTGTGATAACTAGCGGTACGGCCCGGGGGTTCTTACCGCGTACGGCCCGGGCCTTCCAAATGTTCCGTGGAACGATTCGAACGCGTTTCGCCCTAACCGCGTGCACCGATTTCGAAATTCGAATACAAAATTCGGACGTTGGAATTGATGTTGTCGCATTTTTTTGGGTTTAGGGACACCAAATTTTCGCTCATTTCGCATTGAAAGACGCGTTTTCTTGGGTGGGTATGACATAAATAAAATACAACACGGTGTATTCCGCATCACCCTCGGTCCCAGCCCTCCCGCGGATCGGATCGCCCTCCGGCCTTCGGCCGTCGGGCGATCCGCCGCGCGGTCGGGCTGGTACCTCGGGCGATACGGAATACACCGTGTTGTATTCTATATATATAGTTACTATACATATTTCGATATTTCCATATCGTATTGTAAAAAGATGTAACAAAACTAGAGTGATACTGTATGATATATATTAAGGTCTAAATTGTCGATTAGGACTAAATTACAGCGAGTAGAAAATCCTTCAAATGGCATCCGAAATCTTTTTTCAGCTGAGACAGCCGTCACGTTACTCTCCAAGCAGAGGTTTGGGGTTATTTTTAGCGTGTTTTTACGCTTTTTGTATCGGGGTTTCTCTGTTGCACTGGAATTTTTTCCCACCAAACCCATACCTCTGCTTGGAAAGTAAGGACGACCCTGTGATAACAGTAAAAACGACCTCGTATAACCAAAACATAGTGGCCAAAACATTCATCATCCAATAGTTAGAATACACAACTACATATTGAAATCATAATTAAGATAATTACATTTATTGCCGAAATTGTGACCACACAAGTATAGAAGACGACAATTTTAAGAACAAGGCTTTAAGAGATCCCCGAGATAGTTACTGAACCGTCCCCAGCAGTGAGTTCGTGCACCTGTTGACTGGAAATGGACCGCCCCCCTCTCAGAGTGGCTGGGGACCGACCATTCTAAACTGGGGGTGGACGGGGTGGATGGATGGGTTCACTTCCCGATACGAAATGAACTGTAACGTGGTCATCAGAGGTCCGGGAACAAATAAGCCGGAACATAGGATGATCGTTACTCTAAAAGCCTCCTTAAAATTCCCTGTTCCAAATAGTTTTAAAGCATCTTCTTCTCACCACCTACCAGCGAAAAAAAGACACGCCATAATACTAAACATTTTTGACAACATCACATTTAATATTCAATATCTTAACTATTCATTTTCCAGAAATAATAATCTACGCTAGACTGAAATAGATTAATATTTCCACATTTGCGTATATACACATGTTAATGAATCCCAAAGGGAAGACATTACTGGGGTGTTCCGTCAAGTTATCCTTTCCTTTTTTCCTTTCTTGACAAAGGTATGAAATGTCTATCTCCAAAATATATACAAAATGCTATTGTATGAGTATCGTATGGATTTCAATGCAAATATTCTGAAAATACCGTCAAATGGCAAGAACGTAAAAACATTGCCTGTTGGATTTCACCTGAATAGCAAAATGTAATAGTCCAAATTCCGACGCACTAACCACGATCCACTGTCGATAGACCAATCACGATCCACGTTCTATAGCGTTGTCGTATATAGAAACTTTCGCCAGAACTCCGGATGTCACAGCTGTGCATCAGAGTCGTCAGTATTGAGGTAAGAATTTACAATTTTCTGCGGTAGAATTTGATGTTAGGGTTAGGGTTAAATTAGGGTTAGGGTACAGATCTCGGCAACGACAAACGATATCGACGTTTGGTTTGCAGTTTTGATCTTCTGACCGGAGGGGCTTTCCAATAATACCAAGGTTTCCATGTTTTTGATCGATTTTAATTTTAGCTAGGGTTAGGGTTAGGGTACAGATCTCGGCAACGACAAACGATATCGACGTTTGGTTTGCAGTTTTGATCTTTTGACCGGATGGGGTTTTCAATGATACCAAGGTTTCCATGTTTTTGATCGATTTAAATGTTAGCAAGGGTTAGGGTTAGGGTTAGGGTTAGGTATACAAGGTTTTGACGTTTTAAGATTAGTTTGAGAACGCGGCAGGATATATAACCGTATCACTATCGATTGGGCACATCACTGACTCATTGATCTGATTCAACATCTGGATTCTGTTATTCTGCGTGGACGTGTTGATATGCTCTACATCTGGATTCTGTCATTCTGCGTGGACGTGTTGATATGCTCTACATCTGGATTCTGTCATTTTGCGTGGGCCTTATTATGTGGGTTGGCAGTTTTAAGGCGGCACCCAGTCTACAAAATTACTCACGTGGAACCGCTGGGAGAGGTTTCCGAGCCGAAATTAATTAATCGGGAAGCTAGCAGACCTGACCAGAAGCTGGTATCAATTACACCCAAGAAGATGGGAGGGCTCACGTAAGTATTGTTTGTGTACAAACTTTTTTTTTACAATTATAGGGCTGTTTCCTGTATATACAGACTTTTTACACAAAGATATTGCATCCTTTGTCCAAAAATGAGATTGCCCAGGAAATCCGGTGCTATAATCAAACCGACTGAACATCCTCGATCATGATAAACACGGCCGCACACGTGTCTAACATGCAGCACGTCGGAAACAAATACGCTGGATTCCGTGGGTAGCCAGCTCTAAAACACTAACTTGCTTCACATGTATCACTACATCCGGTCCCTTCGCAGTGCTTCACATGTATCACTTTATCCAGTTCCCTCGCAGTGAACACATGTGGTTAGGGTTAGGGTTAGGGTTAGGGTTAGGGTTAGGGTTAGGGTTAGGTATAAGGCAGAATGGACATTTTAACCCTTGTCCTGCTGTGCGCAACATATGTATCTTGGCACATACACTACAGTACCATCTATATAACACCCTGTATAGGTACGATTTGGGGGGATTTCTCATGCAACGCATCACACCGCAGCGAAACACAACAAATGCGGAAGTAACTTTGCCACCGCAGGGCAAAAAATTGGGGGTCTATGATCTAATTAAGACATGACATTATTGAATAATATTGTGCCAGGAATGTCAGCAGGACAAGGGTTAAGATGAGCTGTGTTGGGCGGAAGGATTTTTGACCGCATCACTACCCCTAGGCCTTAGCACCCGCGCAGTATTTTCCGCTCAACATCAATGATATAGAGATACTGTGTTGAAGTTTCGGTAGTGAATCTCAGTCGGACCCCATTCGGGTCCGTTTCCAGGCCCATTTTTATCCCATTCAGATTATGGTCCGTTTTAAGTATGAAAACGGAAATTCTCTAGGTTATCAAGGTAATGAAGTATTTGTATCCGTGGGGTTTATGGGAGGGGGGGATCGGTTCCTTAATCCGCTCCGAATCACACTAGATTCTAGTCAGATCCTTTGTATCCGATAAGTATCAAAGTCCTCTAGTTAGAGAGTTAGTACTGAAGGAGCAGTGGTCAGCAGCCGTCGGTTGTCGTGCCTTTACATCACTGTCTTATTCTTCAGGTAAGTTCCTGTACAATTTGATGTTGTTAGATTTAATTTCGTGTGAGGGTTAGGGTT